TCAGCAAATGCTGTCAAGTTCTGTCTTTAAAATGTATCTCACATCTATTTCCTGCTACCACCCTCACACTCGAAGCTGCCATTATCTCTTGCCTATATAATTGGAATTGCCTCCTAAAGGTTTCTTCTCTTTCACCCTCCCCTCCTTACTGTCTGTTTCTACACAGCAGCCAGTGATCCTTCTATAATGTAGATTACAACTCATTTTCCCATGATTCCCTGTGCTGCTTACAGTAAATCTAAACCTACTCTCCAAGGCCTCAGTCACAAGGTCTCTCTCTCTCACCCACTGTCCTCCTGGCTCCCTCAACTCCAGCGCCTCAGCCACCTAGCTGTAGCAGGTGCATGCCCATCAGGATCTTTGTAAACGTGGTGCTTTCTGCCCGAGACTCCTTGCCCTCCTCCATTGGCTAATTCTACCACAGGTCCTTGCTCAAATGTTACCAGAGACCATTCCCCATCCTGTCTAAGTCTAACACACCCTATCTCTGTAATTTATGATTCTTGTAGCTCTTACCTAAATAGGAGTATCTGACATATTACATACATATGTGTGTCTGTCTACTACTACAAGATCAACAGCGCCACAGAGCAGGAACTTCCTTTATATACCCCTGCTGTGTTCCCAATGCCTAGACCTGCACATAGCCAATACTTAACAGGTTTACTGAAATCGCTATATTTCGTAGACACGGTATTTTTTAGATTTGTTAAAGTCCCAGTTCCTTTCTGTATTTAAAGAGGGTGTGCTGAGGAAAAATACTTTCTGTAATTAATGGTGCTGTGGTAGCTTGAATGAGAAATGTCCCCCATAGGTCCAAGCATTTGAACACCTGGTTCCCAGTTGGTGGGGCTGTTTGGGAAGGCTGTGGGATCTTTAGGAGGTGTGGCCTTCCTGGAGGAAGCGTGTCATGGGAGTCAGATTTGAGTTTATACCCTGGCTCCACTTCGAGCTCTGCTCTGTGCCGTGGTTGAAGATTTAGCTCTCGGCTTCCTGCTGCTCCACCATGCCTGCCATACTTTCAGGCCTCCCACCGTGATGGATTTTTATACATCTGGAACTTTAAACTCAGATAAAGCCTTCCTGCTATAAGTTGTCCTGGTCATGGTGTTTTATCACAGCAACAGAAAAGTAACTAACTCAGGCTCCTTTTAAATTAATCACCTTTGGAAATTTCATAGCTCTTCAAGACATTCAGGTGCCAATTGGTATCATCAAAATATTTGTCTTGTTTTTTGGTTTTTTTGAGAAAGGGTCCCATGATGTAGCCCTGGCTGGCCTGAACCTCACTATGTAGGCCAAGATGGCATAGAACTCATAGAGATCCACCTACCTCTGCCACCCCAGTCCTTGGATTAAAGGTGTATACCACCATGCTTGCCTGATATCATCAAAATGTATGTATTTGAAAGCAGTAAACTATATGCTGTCCTAGGAAAACAGCCTTATACATTAGAAGGAGATGTTTAGATATGACAAAATGCATGAAATCAGGCAGAGGCACTATAGAGGAAGGAGCAGCTAGGGGCAGGAATATAAATATGATCAGGATGTAGTACATGCAGAAAAATTCCATTTTTTTTAAAAAAAGGAGATGTTTAAACTAACATTATCCTTCAAATTCTAAATTCTGCCCTAATAAATGTGCCTTTGTGTGTCAACAAGCCATCACTATGCTCTCCTTGCTATTTTTTCATATTTTATTATTTTTTTAAAACTTTATGTGTATGAGTGTATTGCCTGGATGTAAGTGTACCATGTCATGCAATACCCACGGAGATCAGAAGAAAGTGATCCCCATGGAACTGGAGTTATGGACAGTTGTTAGTTGCTGTGTGGGTACTAGGAACCAAACTCAGGTCCTTTGCAAAAGCAGCTAGTACTCTTAACTGCTGAGCCATCTCTCCAGCCTCTCTCCTTGCTATAATCTCACTTATGGGAGGGGGTAGTGTGGGGGTAGTATTCCCCTCAAAATGCATCCTGAAATTTAACCCCCCACCGGGAGGTACTAAAAGGGGAAACCAGACTAGACCTTCAAGAGGTAATTCAGTCATGAGGCCTCTTTCCTCATGAATAGAGTCACGCAATCATGGGCTAATGGGTTATTCAAGAGTGCTTCTGTCACAGCAGCCAGTCTGGCTGTCTCTTCTGCACACTCCTCCTCCTACACAATGCCCTCAATGCCTTGGGACTTCGCAGAGCTCCCACCAGCAGGAAGGCCCTCACTAGACGTCAGCCGAACCCTCTCCCAGCCTTAATCTTCCCAAGTTTTCAGTTAGTATTTAGTTACAATGACAGGTTTCCTGAGGGAGGGGATGGCACCCAAAGGAGCACAGTGGGCTGCTGAGGATGGGGAGCTGGTTCACGACTTGTTTCCTTGGAGGCTTCCTTATTTTTTAACCATACATTTAACTATACATTTAGGTGTATTTCAAAACTCTTTAGGTAAATAACCAAACAAATAGTCACAAAGGATGAAGCTAACCGATACCTACTCCCCTACAAAGCTCTAGATAAAATGCTGACTGTGTCTCCTTGAAAGCCTCCTGTGATGAGACTCTCCTCCTAACAAGGCAGCCCATTTCCATCTTAACCATTAGGAAGTCAAATTTCTGAGGTTAATCAGAATCCACTCCTCTGATTTCTACTTATTTTTCTCAGCACCTCGTATGTGGCACCAGAAAGTGAGTAAATTTCTCTCCATTCTTCATTTCTTCAAGGTTTGGTACTCTATCCCAAGTCAAAGTCTCAATAGTCACACTTCCTATGAAGTTGCCTGGACAATTTTAGTTCCTGATTTCTTTTTTTCTTTTTTTTT